CACTTTCAATAGAACCCGAATCTGCGGTCTTGTCTCGCAGGTCTGGCTGATGTTTGATTGGCTGACTTGACTCCCAGCGGCGGCCTGTAGCCAATTAACGGGCGATAGGGTCTTGGCAAGGACGCTCTCTTTGGCCACATTACACTTCAGCCAGAAAGACAGACACAGAAGCGCCGGCAGGCCCGGCTTTAGATCCCTAGCACCTCAGCTAGGACGCATAGGCTCGCGTCACCGACGTCGGGAGAACTGACGCACCGTCCGCCTCTTACGTACGGAGTTGGGACGGAAGCTGCAGTTTGAACGTGCCTTCCCCTGAACGTGTCTGCACTCTGCTTCCCGGAGAGATTTGTGCTTCCCGTTTCCCAAGGATTTCTCGGATTCAGCTACCTCTTATCGGGTAAGGTTGTCTTTTCTTGGTCGATGAGGAGTTACGGGGTTACAATGTGACAAGCTGCTCTGCCATAAGCATTCAACTGCTCCTTCTCTCTCGAACCTACGATCCTCGGGTAGGTATCATATTGCGTCTTCAAACGTTGTGCACGGGTCTTTACGTGCCGGCAAGAAGGTTGAAGAGCTTGGTGCCAGTAAATAACGCTTGTAAAGTCAGATGCCTAGCACACTCAGTGTCAGAAGTTAAAGTTTACGGGTAGTTTCCAGCCCGCTGTCACCAATGTTATCTGAGAAATTGCCCAGAAATGCGTGGGTTAGAATAATGGCTCAAATGTCCTTGACTAATGGAACAGATCATCACACGTGGAGAAGGAACCCTTGCTTCCTATTTCTCCTGCAATCCCTGATTGAAAAAAAAATCTCAATTCAATTGTTCGCGTAATAGGCTAAGAATTTTCGAAATGTATAGAGCAACGGTACAAGCACACAGAACAGTGACATGAGGTGTTGGGATGAAGTTCCGGATTCAGACTCCGTCATCACACGTTAGCGCCAGATCACAGACGTGGTAGAGCCACGGTAGACGGACCGTCGGTCGGCGGGGTGCGCCAAGCTAAGCCGTGGCAGGGTAAACTGGGCACGGGGGCGCGAGAGTCGCTCTCCCATCCAACCAACCAACATCTCTGAATTAAAGAGGGACTCTCCCCCCTTAAAAGAACAAACAGCTGATGGCAATTTCCTCAGTACCTGACGGATAGACCACAGGCTGCCGGAAAAAGGACGGGGCGCGAATTATTTCCAACGGAGATGACAGTTCGGCTCATGATGGGAAGTAAATCACAGCGAGAAATCAAAAGGCACCCGACCCGGAGGCAGGAGGGGTGCCCCCCGAAGATGTTGTCTTCACCCCACGGTGTTTTACGTGCCCCTTACACTTACACAAGTTTGGTGTTATCTATAACCAAACATATAAACTGTAATGAATGTATGCATAGTCGGACAAGAACGTAGGATATTTTCGGGCAATGGAGACTTGAATTTATTGGACAACGAAGTGAAATTGCTTTTTCAGGAAGATGATAAAGCCTAACAGTTGAATTTTCACTGCTTTGACTCTCATATGATCGAGAACCTAATGTTTTGAAACGGAACCGGGTGATGGGTTTGGCATCATGTACCTGTTAAACATTATTAATCAAGGTTACTTGATGCTCAGGGGGACTCACGCTCCACGGTCACCGCGAAGGTCTGTGTTAAAGGCCTTGATAAGGCACTTAAGGGTTCTAAGGCGCTTAACCTCCAATAATCCGTTCCTAATGAAAGATTATCTCTGCATGATTCAGCTTCCGCGCACCATACCGGTATATAACAGACGCAACATACTAATCAACGCTAGATATCCATTCCCAAGTACGTGAATGGAGACTTCTCTCTCAGGACTGCAAAGTTCGGACCTTCTCCAAATCCAGCCGGGTCTATCCTTCTCGTCCTGCTATACAGACACAGACAAGTGGACTTGAGCCAAGAAGAAAGGGGGATCGTTCATTCACTTCCGACAAGTTTGATCCCTTCTGGGTTGAAAGTTTAAGCCCGTGTCTTTCCAAATGCTTGTGTTGGGGATGTGGCAACAACGCTCAAGCTTTGGTCTTATGTAAACTTCTTTCACCCGCAGTCGCCGGGTAGATATTCACATATGGTATGTAACAATCTGACGAACAGTACCCCCACTGTTGCATACTGACGTCGTGTCTACAAAAGAAAGAATAGAAGAAAAAATAAGGGGGGATTCATTTCATATCAATTTGTTCAGCTGGCATTTCGAATATTGTAGAGATATGTATGCTTTGATCTAACGAATTTACGCCCTACCCTCCCCGCATACAAATCTTTAATCGCCATGAAAAATTAGCGTTACGTTAATTTAGGACCGCCTCCGACAATATAAGCCTCTCAAAGCGACACATCGCGCCAATAGCTTCCTGCCTCTGATAACCTCTGATGACCGTGACTCCGCTTGGTCACGTACAACTTGTCCATGCCGTTGGTACTTTCTTGGATCGCTAACAGATGGACAGGGGACCATGTGGCGGGGAGACGAGACTGTGTCAGGGTTGTTGAACCTCGGTGTTGTGTTTGTGAGGGGCTAGCCTAGTAGGGACAAGCGTCCGTATAGAGATAGCAACTCAATTTTGTAGCAGTTGAGTTCTTTTGTACCTTAACAGGCAATTCTCGGTGACCCTGTCGTGTCGTTACATTAGTATACGGTGTTTTTTCGGTGTGTTTGCTTGTTTGTTTGCTTGTGTGTCCGTAGCCAGTTGAATACAGTATAGTCACGGGAAGTGATGGGGATGGTTTAGGTCAAAATGGGCTCCCGCAGGCTGGCAGTGGGATGTGCACAGAATTGGTGAGAAATTCAAAGTATATGTATAAATAAAATAAGGAATTTACTTCAACTCTAAATACTTCCCGAGGGTGTGAAATCTTCTATTTCTTGATTGTTACTTTACTTTGTTCCGGGTCCCCGGCTCGCAAGCGTCCAGGACAAATTGTTTTTGTGATTTCTTTGTGCCTTAATTGAAAAGTGAAAGGAAAATATACTTCGATATAGAATTAAGGCTCCTCATTACCGGCAGAACTCGTTAGTTTGCTCCGGGGTTAATGTAGACAACGTCTCGGGTTTTAGGCACGGGGTTCGCCGTGGGGATCCCGGGGTCAGAGTCAAGGGGCTCAGCCACCGGCTAATCTGATTAGGGCTACGGTATCACAAATAGGTTAGACTGGAGGCACAGGGGTGTCCTTACCAACTGGTTCTCGGATCTTAAGAACAAATCTCCTTGTCTGGGGACTAATCACTCCCCCCTGTGAGAGGGTAAAGTAGGGGAAAGTCGTTGTAACGTTATATCGACTTTTCAGCGCTTTAGAATGAGCGTCGACGAATATCTGAGTATGACTCTCACAACTTTTCACAACACACGGTTGTGTGAGAATAAGAGGAATTCATTGATGAAATTATCGATACCTAAATCAATCAATGACAATGCCTCAGAAGATCTACGATAACCAGTCATCAAAAACAGTCTATAGCTACCCAAGTTGTCAAGAGCATTATATCGCAGTATTATACATATTATTGACAATAATTGTGATGGCCCATGCATACTAGAAATAGCATTTCTATAGTTTGGAGGAAACTGGCGGAATTTCCGCAGGTTTTAGAAAGCCATAGGCCTAAACCGCCTGAGAATTCGAATCTGCCTACTGCGTTTGTCACGTGGATCAAATTACGAATAGAAGAACTGATGATTTGAGACGACTCGCGCCGCCTCCCAGCGTGTCTAAGAAGTCTGGCTTTGAAGTTCTCGGTCAACCTATACGTTGAAGGAGGTGAACGCAAGATAGTAAATCTTTGTTTCTATTACCACTAACTTTGCCTGTACTAGCATCTAGGATTTAAGGCTATTACTCAAGTTAAATAGACAGACGTGCTGTCGTTGCTACAGGAAATGGGAACCGGCTGTCGGGTGGCTTTAAAGTACTGGTGGGAAATTTGAATTGCGTCGGTGTTAGATGGGATATGTGTTACTCGGGATATAATTTTACCCCTCTATGTCTCAGTGAAGCGGGGCTCCGGGATAAAATGAATGGGTAGGCGAGGTTTACAAACATAACGTGAAAACATGATGTGGAGACTTCTGGGCATGTAGAAATGACTATTCTTGCAGACGCACACGCACACACAATGAAAGGCATTTGCGCAAAGACGTAAACGTTGTCACCTCTGCACAACCAATCTACAGCATCACTATCCGAAGTCTCTGCAGGAAACTATCCGACTGGGACCGACCGGCTAGGGTGCGTGTGTGTAACAGGTGGACGCAGGACACTCCTCTGTACTGTTCTCTCTGCCGACGTGTCTCCAGCGTGGCATCCCAATGATGACGGGCCAATCCTCCACGGAAGAACATTCCAGGACAAAGTCGTACCCTAACAATTACCAATTAAACGGCTGACTTACAAATTAAGGCGGCTAATTGAGGGTAACGAGACCGGGTGCGGTGTAAGTACTCCCTTGGGATGTCTGATGCTCACCAAGTCGGCGGACAGACGAGAGAAATTCCTGGTATGGAATTCCTCTCCATGGCTTCAGGGTAATGATATGAAATAATCCGCGTCATCCCCTCCAGTTAAAACCAAATCTCTGCAGTCCCCCCTCTGTCGTCATCGCTGTCCCTGGGAGGTTCCAGTAATGACCAGGTCACACGGAAAGTCCTCGCCCGGATGTAGGATGTTTAGACAGTTCGGACACCACGGAATGTAACGACACATGTAGTGATACA